ATAAAAAATCGCGCGATTTTTTATTAAAAATTTTCATTATTTATCAAATTAACGATGTACGTTTTCTACATTTGTGTACTTTGAACTACAATAACACCAGTAAATATTATTTCCACCCGAAAAAAATAATACCGTTATGATCAGGAGTAAGACCCCTATCGATCCTAATATTATTATTTTTAATAAGAGCAATATATGTACGTATTGTACACTTATACTTCCTAATTATACACACTTATTTGTGTATTTTTTTAACGTATGGTAGCATACATTTTGTGTTACTGTCAGCCATTGTTATTTCTGCTTGTTTGTGAAATGTGCAAACGTTTGTGAAGACATTTATAAACGCGTTTTACTTAATTAATTAATTAAGAATTGTATATTAAAGTGGAAATCTCAGGCCGGGGTTTTAATGCAACTATTTTGAGGAGGGTGTACATAAATAAAGTGTTTATTGTGTGAAATAGCGCCGAGAGGTTAGTTCAATTTACAAACTTTAACAACAAATAACTTAAAAACTAAAGGCCTGCTGCGGCTAAAAGTATATATATTTGCAATCAGGAGAACTCCCTCTATCGTTCCATAGCTACCTTAATGCGGAACTCCGGGGATGCCAAACTAAATTGCAGCCGCCTTTCCAGCAGTAGGTAGTTTTGATTGCCGTCTTTAATGTTCCGCTAATCGAGAGCATATACAATGTGCGTGCTTAAAAATTCAATTTTCTGCATGACAAAGCTACAACTAAACAGCACCTTCATCGTGTTTTCCAACCTTCCCTAGTAGTATAACGTATCGATGGCTAAGTGGAAGATCGACCTATCTCGGCAGCCAGTTCGAAAACGCCCTATCTCAGAAAATTTTTCAATAACGCTCTACTTAAGAATTTGGTTTAAGATCGGATTATCTCAGAATTCGGTTCAGAAACGCCCTATCTCAACTGCCGATGCAAAAATGCCCTATCTCAGCACAATTTCAATGTATTTTCGTTTGAGATAGGTCGCTTTTGAATCGAATTCTGAGATAAGGAGTTTTTCAATAAAATTCTGTAATATGGCGTTCTTCAATCAAATTCCAAAGTAGGGCGCACTTGAAAAGTTTTCTGAGATAGGGCGCCTTCGAACTGACTGCCCTATTGCAGGTCACCATGGTCCTGGGTCCCCCCAGTGGGATGGCCAGACGCTGTTCGCTGAGTGGCAAGCCCACTACAGGAAGGCCCAGGATTTCCGGTGTTTGCCGTGCAGGCCTCCGTCCAGTGCTATGTTTGGGCGTAGCACTGGCCTTTGGACTTCTCGGGCCAGGGGGTGCCTTGGTCCCACTGCTGGTTGGTGCGGGTGCCACTGATATCTGCATCCGCATGGGGCTACTTTTGACTAGGCCCGGTGGTACCGTGGCTTTGCTTTGTGCAGTTTGTGACTCCTTTCGGCCTTTGTTTGGGAGCGCCGGACTCCCGTAGTGGAGTTGAAGTTTTAAGGTTTCGTGTTGTTAATTTGTCCATATTTTGTCCCACGAGATGCGGAGAAAAGGAACGTCCGCCTGGACAGAGATCCGCTGTACCCGGGTAAGGCTAGTTGGCTCCGAAGGTCTCCCGGTATCCGGAGCATTCCGTTGGCGACTGGGCTTGGTGAAGGGCCCCCATCCAGCTGATCCTCGGCACGGGTCGTATGACACCTTGATCCGGCCCTGCAAAGAGAAGAGAGTGGAGAACTGGCAAGGAGTTTGGTCAGAAAGGGAAATTATTATTATTACGCCTATTAAGGCGTAGGGATTAAGGAGGGGTCCCCGCTCGAATTAGCCGCCAGGGCGTTACCAGGTGTCACCACGGAGGGGCCCCTTATACTGGGGGGGGGGTGCTAATCGCAATGCATTTAAAAACCTACGAGTCGACGTTTTGGGATGTCGCGTGTGTTCAAGTCGATCAGCCCCATCAAAGACACCCCAAAACGGTGCAACAACTACTCACTTGCATGTTTTTACTAGTTTTGTGTTCAATAACTTTTTCTGCTAGTTTTCTCTATTTCTCAGTTTCACGTTCTATTTTGCTCAATTTCTTTATTAAAAAAGCATGAATAAATTATTGCATTTTTGAGATTGCAATTAAAATGTTTGATTGAATGAGTGATTTGATTGCAATCACAATCATTGCAATCAAATGTGCTTACAATTAAATTTATTGCAGTTTTTACAATCAGAAAAATGCAATAAATTTTGATTGTAATCCTATTAGTGCATAATCATTGATTGCTACAAAAAATTGATTGCAAATTTTTAGAGCTCCGCCAGATATTGATAGGTAGCCGTTTGCTTTCGAGCATAAATTATCAATTCCATTATATATACAATAGAGACTCCCTCTGATGATTAGAGGGCGAAATCCATCAAATGTTGTTCGCTTATGGGTCTACATCTGTTTCGTATTTTTATGCTCAGGGCTGGCATAGAAACCGAGCTTCAATTTGTTTGGTTATAAAAGTGCTTTTAGAACAATAGCACATATTTGACTGGCTTTCATAGCAATTTTTGAAAATAGCCATAGTCAAAATAGTAAAACTTAAAGATTTTTTTTTTCCAAATTTACCGGATGGAAACCCCAACAATAGATTATTATTAGGGCAACCAAAAATATGCTTCTAAAAATTTATTTTATGCGCTTAAAATAAGCCAATAAATTCTAAATAAATTGTGCACAAAATGGCTTTAAAATCATTATAAGCCATAAGATATGTTTTAAATTTCGTTTATGAACGCACAAGTATACCCAGAAATGCCTGTAACTTTATTTGGATCACCTAAAATGTTCAAAATTTCATAAAAGTGCACATATATATTTATCTTTAATAATTCATTATTATTCAATTTGTTTTTAAAACATATGTATGAAAGTACATGGAATCTAATTCACAAATTGTTTCACATAGAATTCATACTGTGTATGTTTGTATATACATATGTACCCTGCAGCGGAAAGTACTAGTCGGGGTTTCGGGAGTCGAATACCGGTACATCGCAAATCTACCACCCATGCTTACCGCTGTCCCATTTAACATGGAGTTGTCCTAGGAGGTGACAATTGACTCCCGCTGCGTAACTTTGCCCTAGTACTTGTAGTAGTAACAAGTAGCCTGTAACCGAACCACGTTTTCTATCTCGCTCTCTATCTCGTAACCTGGTACTAGTAACAATAAAGGCTTCCATAGCAAAACACATTTACTTTCGTTTGATGAACTCCCTGTTAATTGCTTGCCAAACAAAATTATAACGGCGTGCCATGGCGGGTCAGTGGCGGGACAACTCATCTGTCAAGATCGAAACTTATAAATAGTATTAACCTTATCGCACATTAAAAAACACTATATAAAGACGATATGATCGAGCACTTTGATATTTATTTAATTTGCGACACAGTGTTACTATATTGTTATTATTTCAGAAATTTTTATTAGTTCTAAACGTAAAAACGCAACGCAAAGTATCCGAAAATATGCATTTACTGCAAAATATGCTGAAATATGCATTTATTGCAAAATATGCTAAAATATGCTCTAAGAAATATAACTCAAACCTTATATTTTTTGGAAAAACGTTTAAGCATTTCATCAGTGTGTTGCTAACATGCCTGACAAAAAACATGCCCGAACATATTTTGGGTTGCCGCAATATTTATTTTGAAACCAGATTCAATTTTGAAAATTGGATGAAAAACAGATGGAGGATTCAGATACTATGAGAAACATATTTGATTTTTTTGTAACATTGTGTTATCATTACAATTCCCTTTCCGTTTTTACATATTACATTGAACAGCAAATATGCAGCTATGTATAGACATACATTGAGCATTTATATTACCATAGCTGTACCCGTACTTTATTCTGAACCTTAATCTTAGAAAGAGACGGTGCACTTCTGTTCGCACTTGGCAACATCTTTTCGAGACGATTTTGTAATTCAAAACATAAAAATTTTACCACATATACTCTTTGGTATAAATTATAAAAAGAAAAAAACTCACTCTTTGAACATAAGGTACAGGTATTTGGCCGATTTGTCCTTGCTGATTTCTTGCTGTCCACCACTGATCCTCATCTTTGCGGATTACAGTCAAGATTTCCCCACGTCTGAATGGTAGATCATCCTGATCCTAGTCATTAACGGGCATTATTAAACAAATGAAGCAGTCATGAAATTTAATCATTAAATAACCGTTTCTACTTACACTTCCCTCAAAGTCGAACCTCCCTATAACTTTTTCAGACTTCTTTGGAGCAGGGCGCCGTAGAGGAGTGGTGTCAAGATAATGTAACGTATAAAAAGTTAACAATTTTGGTAAATTTTCGAATAATTGATCACCTATTCGATAGAATATTTGTTCCTGTTGCTGTATCTTATTTATTATATAGTTACTAACTTTGGTGTCTTCTCTAGAAATAATAAGAGCAAATACTTGGTCATAAATAACTGAAGTGTCATAAATACCAAAATACACAATCGTTTTACATATAACCTACACAAGCAGATTACTCTCAACATAAAACTGATTTTTATTTTCAAATTACGTTGTCTAAAGAGACCAAACAAGTGCAAATATACACAGCATCAGTTTTAATTGAAACACTGTGTTGTAGGGCATACACTTTTTTCGTTTAGTTAAGAATTTATGATTAATAGCACACGCACCTTACACATAATACATAATCACCTGCGATAGAGTTACTATCGCGTACTAGAAACACACCTCGTTCACGCTCGCTCATAAGGACTTCGGTGGCATCCTGACGAGACATCGGTCCAAAATACCAACTGAAAGATATTAATAATTGGAATATTTTTAATTTTCATAAATACTGTGGTAAAAATTAAAGTTTTATCATCTTTTATTTTATTTTTTTTTTTATATTTGAAAATTTAAACGAACTTATACTTTATTGTGTAAAAATATAGCTGAGTTATGCAGGAAATCGTTTAATAGCGGTATGAATGTTAGGTTAGCTTGGTTGATCCATAAGTTCTCACATACATTATTAGCTCATCCTTAGTGTTACCAAAAGAGGTGGAGGTAAAGAGGTAGCGAGTTTTAATAACACGGCGCTACAAAACAGCGTAGGGTCGAGTACAACATGAATATAGGTTTGTTGTTGTTGTTACAGTTCCTCAACCCTAATTTTTTTATTGAAACCCCGTTATTTTCATACCTAATACACTTATCTATTAACATCTTGACTATTTTTTCTCCGATATTAAAAGTCTTACATGTTTTTAAAAGGGAATTTATAAACCATTAAAACTATGTATAACAGTATTTTGCTAGACTTAGTTTGTTGGGAGTTTTTATCGGGAAACCTTTAAAAACTCCCTGTACAATCTGGCAGCCTTATTGTTATTTTGAGCACTAAAGGGAATGGACATTTTCCAAGGAATCTCCCGCTATTCTCTTCACCAATCTCTGGCTTTGCTTGCAGCCGCTGCTGTATTGTAATATATAATATATTCTTAAGTTTAGTCAGCATCAAACTGTCTAGTAGAGTAGAATTGTCGCGCAAATAAAACTGCTGTAATTTAAAATCAAGAACCTCGTTTTACTATAGTGGAAACTACACATTTAATGGTGGCCCATGAGGGGAATATTCCCTTAAAATTTGATTAGTACAGTAAGGAAGAACAATTAACGCTACTAGGTAACATTTTGTCTCCCGCTAAGACATGCTCGAAAGTTGCATCCGCATTTTGTACGATTGACTCCGCAATCTTATCGCCGTGCATTGTGCCCCCGCCCCTCAGCAAGTCTCTATGCATCCGCTTTGTGCAAATTGGCGGTTCGACTAATTCCTGCTCTCAGCATTGTGCTCCATCGGCGCTACCTGCCGCTCAGCATTCTTGAAGGTCAACTCAAGGTTCTCGCGCTGTCGCTTCACATATACAAGCCCAGGCCTCAGTTCACCAGAGACAGCGATTATCAACTACACCACGCAAGAGTGAAATAGGTGTATGTGTGCATTTAATTTGAGTGTTAATTTTAGAATATCGCTGAGTGCCACTCAAAATAAGATGAGTGAGTCCATTGAAGCACTAATTAAGCTACAGCTGAATCGATTCGCAGCACTTGAAAAGATTCTGGCAAATTTTAAGAAAGATTCAACTGCACGTAAGACAAAACCATATTTTCAACAACGGCTGTCGCGGATCGATGATCTTAACAGTGAGTTTTGTACCACTCACAAATTGATTGTTTGTTCCGATATCGCCGAAGACGATGGATATTTCCGTGAGGATGTAGCATCTCAATTTGAAGAGATGCATCTCGATTTGTTTTGTTTGCTGACTCAACGCCAGGAAGAGATGTATCCCCGTACAATTCCGCCGGATGAACCAGCAGCCGTCGAATCTTCAAAATTGAAATACATCCTCTATTAAGCAGCCACGATTGCCAGTTCCCTCGTTCTTTGGAAGATTCACTGAATGGCCCAGCTTCCATGACTCTTTCAATCGACTCATTCACCAAAATATTGAGTTGAACTCAATACAAAAATTTCACTATTTAAAACAAGCACTTCCAGCCGACCGAGATGTCGATATACACCAAATGCTTTTAACTGAGGTAAATTATGATACTGCTTGGGACTTGTTGCTCAAGCGTTACAACAATCCGCGAATCCTGTTTTCGCAGCATATGAACACGCTTTATAATTTACCCCAGTTATATAAAGAGAAATCTGATAACATCAAATCAATGCTGAACGTGGCAAATGTCTGCGTAAATGAATTTAAACGCCTAAAAATTCCAATCGGCGGATGTGACCACTGGGTTGCTCATTATCTTGCGACCAAGCTGCCAACCGACACGCATACCGCATGGGAGCGACATCTTGGAAGTAAAACCGATATACCAACATTCGGTGAGCTGGAAGCGTTTTTAAACACTCGTATTTTCACAATCGATGCAATCGAAAATCGCAGCATGACCTTTACTGCTTCATCTGCAGTTAAATCTCCAAAGGATACAAAACATCAAACCCCTTTCAATTATAAAAACTCAAAACCCATTCAGAGATCGATTGTTAATGTTAAAAGTTTTCAAGCTGCTCCAAACGTCAACACCGCTCAAGTTGAATCTTGCGCTTTATGCGGTCAAGCACATATTATACGCCGCTGTCCAACCTTTCTCTCAAAAGATTGCTATGAGAGGAAGGCAATCGTTGATAAGGCAAAGCTGTGTCTTAATTGCTTAAGTAAGGCTCATGCACTTTCTAAGTGCACTAGCATCAAAAATTGCCTCCAGTGTGGCCAACGTCACCACACTTTACTGCATTTTCCGTTCGCTACAAAGACTACTCCTGCAAATAACGCTCTTACGCCATCAACTCAACGCGTTTTATCCAATTTCAGCAACGTTTCAGCACCTCCACAAGAACAATCAGTTCCAATTTCTTCAAACACACCTCTTTCGACAGCAGTTTTAGAGGCAAGGCGCTTCACTCGCGCTCATTCTACGCTAGCGGCAAATTCAACACAATTGGGTGTCGACAGGATCCCCGTACAGGGGCCGAGACACATACTTCTTGCCACGGCGTCAGTAGTGCTGTGCAACGAAATCACGAATCGATCGGCGATAGTACACGCTTTGATCGATCAAGGATCCGAAGGAACGCTTATTACAGAAAATGCTGTTCAGCAATTAGGCCTGCAGCGTCATCCCACCGCTGCAGATATATGCGGAGTAGGCCCAAACCTATTTAGCCAATCACGATCATTGGTTAGCTGCACTCTTCGTTCATGCCACGATGAACACTTCGCCGCTCATATTGAGTCTGCTTATGTTCTGAAGCAACTCTCAGCACCCCTGCCCAGCCAGGAAATTGTGCCACAAGATATGGCACATCTACGAGGACTCGCTCTCGCCGATCCCAAATACTACCAGCCGAAAAGAATTGACCTCATTATCGGCGCAGACATGATCGCCCAAATATTGGAGCCGGAAACCCGCATTGGCCATGTTAACCAACCTATTGCCCAAAAAACTCATTTGGGATGGATCTATTGTCACTATTCGCTGCCACCACAGCAATCTTGAGCTTGAAGGGCTTGTACGAAAATTCTTTGAGAACGAACATGTGCCCACTTCTGTACCAATGTCCGCTCAAGACCAGTGGTGCGAAGATTTTTTCCGTAGCACTTACACTCGACAAGCAAATGGTAAATATCTGGTTCGTTTGCCTCTGAAGTCATTATATGATCCTAACCAAACTATAGGCAAGTCGAAACAAATTGCACTGAACAGATTTCATCAGCTAGAACGTCGACTCCAGCGTAATGCCGATCTCCGTGAGCAATATGAGGATGGAATTGAGGACTATTTTCGCCTGAACCAAATTCGCCCAGCTATGACAACGGAGGAACAGCATTGCTCAACTACCAAATGTAACCAGCTAACCGTAACATCCTGTGTACTGCCGCATCACGCGGTGGTGAAAGAAACGAGTGTCACTACCAAATTACGCATTGTCTACGATGCGTCCTCGAAAACGTCAAATGGACGTTCATTGAATGATTTACTATGCACTGGCCCACCATTACAAAACGACCTTTCGGCTGTCATCCTGAAGTGGCGACTGCATAGATACGTCTTCTTGGCCGATATACAAAAAATGTATCGATGTATCGACATGAACCTAGAGGATTCAAATTATCAACGCATATTGTGGCGCAACAAAGATGGACATGTTTGCGAATACTGTCTCACGACGGTGACCTTTGGAACAGCGTCCGCGCCGTACACTGCAATTAGAGTTCTTCATCAGCTCGCGCACGATGAAAAACACCGATTCCCCCTCGCTGTACTCTCTGCCTCGATGTACGTTGACGATGTACTAAGCGGAAGTGATTCAATTGCTAATGCAAGACTGTTGCGTGATCAACTGATAGCGGCGTTAAAGTCAGCTGGCATGGAACTCAGAAAATGGTCCAGTAACACTCCTGAACTTTTGCACTCTATTCCATACGAGCATCAATCGTATGATCCAGCACAACAACTCAACACTAACGAGACGATCAAAACGCTTGGCCTGCATTGGCAGCCGAATCTCGACTCTTTCACTTTCTCAGTCAAATGTGCTATCAACTCCAGCGCAACAAAAAGATCGGTTCTGTCAACCATTGCCCGTTTGTTCGATCCCCTTGGATTTCTTACCCCGATTACTGTAGCAGCGAAGGTAATCCTAAAGGAGATTTGGGCAACGAAAATTAAACGTGATGATGATCATTATGTAGCTTTAGGTTGGGATGAAGAATTGCCTCCGACTACACTGGTCTACAAGGGTTTTGCGAATAAGACGGGACCTGGTGTTTCCGAACGGATTTTTCGTGCTGAACACGAATCTGGGGCCCAAAACTTCCCATTACGTCACGTTTTCGAGAAAAAAGGGGTTGAAACCCCTAAAAACAGCGTTTTTGGACATTTTCGAAAAATTGTAGAGCCGAACCCTAACGTGCTACAAACTTTGCATATGTCAGAAATTAAAGGTAAAATTGTGCCCTTTCGAATGAGCCTTATGCCAAGTTGATCGCATGTGCCCTTGGAGCAGGGGGTGTATTTGTGTCTAGGGGTGCAGGAAAAAACAGCGTTTTTGGCCATTTTTGAAAAATTGTAGAGCTGAACCCTGACGTGCTACAAACTTTGTATATGTCAGAAATTAAAGGCTAAATCGTGCCCTTTCGAATGAGCCCTATGCCGAATTAATCGCATGCACCCTTAGATCAGGGGGTGTATTTGTGTCTAGGAGTGAAATTTTTATATCCACCATATT